GTTGATGTACAAACAAAAATTTTATAGGTACAATCATGTACTAACGATGTACAATCGAGTACATAATTGCGTTTTTCGAATTACTGACTTTTGTCGAGTAAGTACCCGGGGGTAGGAAATTTCACGGTTGAAGCTTCACCATTGGCGTTAGCAATCTCGCCTATAATCTCTGCGTATACTTGCCGCACTAATTAATGGTCGATTTATTACCTCATCAATATACCGAATACTGTCTCCACTCCATCGAAATAAGGGATCGATGAGGAAATTATCCGTTCATAATTGATTGCAAAGAGAGATAATCACCAATGTCCGTAGTGCTTAATTGAATTTTGCTAATGGCATATGTTTATAGAAATATCTTCCCATGTATGAGGGCCGTTTCATAAAATACGCATGTATTTTAGAGTGTACATGGTATTGTAGAGTGTATAGTAATTCTATTACCAATATATGAAAATCCAAACGTTATAATCTCGTCTCAAGAAATTGTGTCATTAATAAATGATCTGCCCTTTTTTTTAAATCAATGGATACATATTTTTAAACTTATGTAAATAAAAATAAAGGATCATTGGCAATCTTGAGAGGATTGACATCGTAAACCTCCATGTAACTTAATGCCCAAATTTTGAAAAGTGAGGCATGTCTCTTGTCAAGCAAATATTCTGTTCAGGAACAATTAGTGTGCGATAAACGGAGAAGAATAAAAAAACATGACACTCACAATATTATTTTACAATAGTGCATGCATAGAGATTCATAAAAAAATATTAATTGAGTCAAAGATAATTATTTTTAGGACTCTTGAAAAAAAAAGTTATTTACATAGCCATCCAATTTTATTACGCGCGCAAATGAACTCGGACATATATTACATTTGTCCTAAAACGGTTTATACTTTAGTTACCATCTGAGTAGATTACCGACTGCAGGAATATCGCTAGCGTATAGTAACATAATCCCGACATCCTTCAAAATTAATTATTAATCAGCATTTTTAGGATAATGAATGTTAATATTAATAAAGAATAATACATGCCAATGAAAATCACGATCAGAGAAGTGAGATTACGAGGAAGAGAGCAAGCTCTTTTGGATATTTTATTGTCTCTTTGACATTATATCCTTTTTCATTTATTTATTTTATCTATCTTTATTTTCATGGTATGCTATTAAGTGTTATGTTGACGATAACATACCGACTTACTTTATTACCGACTGTATTTGGTCAAATCGAAACTTCATTCATTAGAAATTGAAATGCTTGAACATAAGTCCGCTGTATAAACTTTGATAAATGGAATGGTAATCACCGTAATAATACGATACATTACAGAATCATGAAAAGTTTAGTTGTCCTATTGCGTATATCATGTATTACTCTGATAACCTGTACAGGTCTTGACGTTAATTAAAATACCAGCAGTAAGATTTTTACACAATTTTGACAGGATTATTAACAGGAGGATTATCGTTGTTTCCCATATGTAAGATTGATAACTATTCCAGTGAAAATTAAAGTAAATTCTAGTTTTTCATCAAGTTATCTGCTGATCTTGGAAATTAAAAGAATCATCAATCAGTTTTAGTTAGCACAATACTTCCACATAGCATATTTCGAAAAAACAAAGCTGGTAAAAGCAGATATACTTCACTACTACATGATGAGGAGAGTTTGTAGGGTTTTATTTGATATCACGTAGTTGATTCACTAATGGAACTAAATATAATATCACTCTTTTGTAGAAAAGCCACTATACACTTATAACGAGCTTGAAAATCGATATTAATCTACATTATCAAGGAACTGTTTTCTGATGCGCTTTGCATAAATACTTCTTCTCATACAATTTGAAATTTTATTAAGAAACTAAATTTGTAGAATATAGTTCTTCGAAACCGATTATTGCAACGTACAACTGAACATACCATAGGCAATGGGATGGAAATGCTTGTGGACCTGGTATTTATTTGTAGCGAAAATCGTGGCGGCAATGCGATTATTAAGCAAAAGGAGCTTTGCGAGAGCTTAATTTAAAATCATATCCTTGCTTTTCATGTCATCAACCATTAATCTGTAGATATTTCGACACAGTTCTCTTGCGAATATTATAGACCATTAACATATTCGAATTTTCGCGGTTCTATTCATTGCTCACTAGCAAAGTGGCGGCCGCGGGGTGACTCAATTAAAGGTTCGATTTGCACCACGGCATATTATTGTTTTTTTTTCTGTAATTCCGAAGAATCAACAATAAAAACATGTTTTCGAGTAAGGTAAGAGGTTTAAGGATACTTTGCAATTGTCGTTGGAGATGGCGAAAGTGTGATTGTACAGTAAAATTCATCGGATTATTATTTTAGGTTATGACACGTCTGTGCCAGCAAGGGGGCCGGCTAGCTATTAGGCTTGCATCTACCACTGTTCCTGAAAACACGAAGATTGAAAAAAGTGAGAAAAAATTAATTTTATGAAGCCTTTCCGCTCTTGAATAGAAGCTTTGTTTATAGTTAAAATTCGGTCATAATCAAAATTGCGTATGCATCGTCACAATTTTTTCCAGACATTATGTATGTTCCTTATTACCAAGCTTTTCCATAATCTTTCGCTAATAAATCAATGAAATTTAGTTATTATTTGTTTTTCAAGTGTTGCTAAAAAATTTGTTAAAAAATGTTGCCATTTCATTGAATAATTGTTTGACCAAATGGTCTTGATTTATAGAATAATTTTTTTTTACACTATATTCTTCGAAAAGTTAAATTTCGGCGATGCTCAGACATCATGCCTCAAATTAATGCATTATAGTTTAAAATATAGGTTTCAATTCCCCCCTAAGAGTTAGAACATCAACACTAAGACAATTACTACGCGAGTTTCATTTTCTTAGTGACTTTTGCAAACTCAAATATTTCTAATTGACTTTATCCAAGATGTTCTCCAAGAAAACTAACACAAGTGAATAAACAGACAAAGTAATCAACGAAAGATAATTAATCGAAAACCATAATAAGGTATTAGCAAAAACAGCTAGACTATATAAAGAGAAAAAGAAGAGTAAGTTCTCATGTGTCTGCTTTCAGCATTGAATCAGGTCTCTCTGCTTGGTAGAGTTGGTGCAGATCCTCAGAGAAGAGGCTCGGAAGAACACCCGGTGGTTGTTTTCTCAATGGCAACGCACACTAATTACAAATATGATGGAGGTGCAAATTTATTATAGGAAAAAAGTATTTCCAACAACTCCGTCCGTTTATTTTTATCAGCGTTATTTAATTTATTATATGATGCTTTGCAGGAGATTACGTACAAAGGACAGACTGGCACAGAATCTGTGTCTTCAAGCCCACTCTTCGTGACGCAGTTTACGAATACTTGAAGAAGGGGCAAAGAGTAATGGTGAATGGACGTCTAAGCTACGGAGAAATCAAAGATGAGGCCGGCAATCCCAGAGCCACGACTGCAGTGATCGCTGACGACGTTATATTCTTCCAGGGTAATTCGAAAGAATATTGAATACTATCAAACGATTATGATTAATTCCCATCAATACTTCCACTTGATCAATATTCTCACTAATAATCGTGAATTATCTTGTACAAAAGATAGAAATATAATTTTTCTAAAAAAAAAACAAAATAAAAAATTGTTCGTATTATGAACAACAATCCATCATTTTCACCCAGATGAATTGGTAAATTTTTTTCAAAGTCTAGAAGAGATAATTAAGTAGAAAATTGGTGAAATGAAAATTTGCAACTTTTTATGCAGGTAAATTGGAAAACCTAATTTTTAGTATTTGATAATTTAAAATTAGCTGAATTTAAAAAAATGCTGATGGTAAAATCATCACATTATTTAAAGAGAGAGAGAGAAATCATTCGAGGGTTATGTAAATGGATAAAAAAAATTTACCTCTTATTCAGTATTTTTTCATAATTAAAATTGCATCCAATCGGTTCACCCATGTATTTTGTGGCAAGTATTATTTAATACAAGAAATTCTCTCATAACAACTCTTTATTCCTCAATTATTTAAAAAAACGAGACTGCGAACACGCGCATCGCGTTGTCTCTTCTGTAATAGATTATTCATCTGTAAGATTATACTGTTAAAAATTTACTCCTGAAATTTTATAGAAACACATTTGACAATACCAGCATAACCAACACAACACATACATTTGAAATTTCCTCGTTATTATTACTTATGAGTCAGTCAACCCTGAATTTTTCAGACATTACAAATTTTGAAGTCTTGTCTTGAAATAAATTCAGATGGATACCGCTATGGAGTTTAATCAATCTGGCTGGTAAAAGCATTGGGACCCAACATGAATTCGGCTGTCAATGAAAAAATGCCCATCGGTCCATAAGACTGCCCTGAAAAACTTATAAAAATGTATCCTCTAAATTTTAACCGGCAGACAGTTAAATACATTAAAAACTATTGTTGTTTATGCGCTGAACGCCGCAAGAAAATAAACTGCATCAGTTCAGGTCATCCCACTGAAAATCAAAAAAATATCTGACTACAGCGAGTGAATTTCTCTATCAGTTTCTGCCAAAAAACAATACTTTTAAGGCCCGGTTGGAGTATCTGATTATCTCCTATAGATAGTTTTTGTTCTGGTTTTTATATCTGAAACTTTGATGCAGTCCTGCATAAAGCAGAGCTGGACCACCTAAATGCATGTAGGTCGAAAAAAAAGTAAAAAAAAACCAAAAACATAAAGTTCGTGCTTTTTCATTAAAATGGGAAGATAATTGTACAAAAGCACAAGTTGGAAATATCTGATGTGATGGAGCAGAGAGGAGTGAGGGCGATAAAAGAAAATGTCTTCTTGTGCGGTTGGTGGGGCATTATTTCACAAAGTCGTTCTCTGAAAAATTATTAAATATTTTTAAAATTTTTTTAGTTATAATTTCCTTACCTGATCATTGGCAGATATCTCCGAATTAGATCTAGAAAAATTGAGGTGGCGATCAGCTGTCACTTTAGCCATAGAAAGGAGAGACGGAGGGGAAATATGCTGAATGTGAATTATTCCGTACGCAGCACATGAGGCATATGTATACCATTTTGTTCTCTGAAAAATTTTTAATCATTTTTAGATTTTTTCAATCATAATTTCTTTACCCCATAATTGGTAGATGTCCGTACACGGAAAGTAGCAGGCAGAAGGCCCTCGAAGATCGCAGAGATCTTCAGAGGAAATATAATAAAGCACTCGTAATAGCCAAAAACGAGGGCTGGAAGAAATTTAGCAGTGGGGTGGAGAGCCAATCTGAAGCTTCAAGGCTGGTAAAGATCCTGGGAGGACAGGGCGCCTCTAATCT